GTGGGTTTGGAAGGTGCTGCCTGAGGGGCCTTGGTGAGTTTCTGCAGCGCATCTTGTAGATGGTACACATTGCTGCGACTGAGTGTCGGTGGGGGAGGGAGTGGGATGTGGAAGCAGGCCATTTGGCCCATCAAGTCCACCCTAACCCTCCAAGGAGCACTGTACCCAGACCCCTCCTCACCCTATCCCTGTATTTCCCACAGCCAATCCACCCTAACCTGCACATCTTTGGACTGGGAGGAAACCGGAACATCTGGAGGAAACCCACGCAGACACGGGGAGAATATCTGTGTGGAATGAGTTATCCACCAACAGTTGCCTGAGGGTGGATTCGAACCCCAGTCCCTGGTGCTGTGAGGCAGCAGTGCTAACCCACTGAGCTACTGTGTGGTGCCAATCCACTTGGGGGGCGTTTCACCTGGATTGTGATGGTTTTTAGCTTTTTAAGAAATATGGTGGAGCCCATGGTTCACCAGCTCAGACCATCCTGTTGGGTTGAAGGGACTGAGGGGAATATTAGTAACTGGGAGGGAAGGTGGACTTGAAAGAGGCCTTTGCTGGGGTTCATTGGTGTTTCTGGGGAGGGGGCTCAATTTGCTGTTTCTAGCTGCTGTTTGGATGTGAATCCACCATTTCTCCTTCTCTTTCCCCCACCCCCTCCAGCTCACCTCCAACCCACGGTTTATAAAGAAACAGATGCTGCAGTTTTATGGAGACAGTTCCTCGTCCTCTGGACGGGATCTCACACTCATGTGGAATCGGGTCATGCCGCAGGTGAGAGCTGTGATCACCCCCCTCCCCATCCCTGCACACCCAACCCCAGGCAGTGGGGGCTCCGGGGGTGGGTGGGGGGACAGTGGGACCAACCGAGCCAGGGATTGTCTCTGTGATGCTAACACTACTGGGGACACTCAATGGTTTAAATAGACAGCAGGCCATTCAGCTCCCCCACCCTTGTGGCTGGCCCACAGGAACAGAGGAGGACATTCAGGGTTAGGGAGGGGCTGCCTAAAAGGGCCTGGGGAGCAGGTTTGGCCGGAACATTCGGAGGAGGGAGGGGGGGAGGTGTTGGAAAGTTGGTGGAGGGGATTTCTGGGAAGGGGAATGTGCTGCAGAGCAGTTGGTGGGGGCAGGGGTGGGAAGAGGGCAAATTGGGAGATCATTCAGAAGGCTGGCACCAGCTCAATGGACTGAATGTTGTCCCAGTGCTTCAGGCTGCCATGTCCCTATTCTCTGGGGCCTGGCCTGCTGTGGAAACCATCTCACCCCCCCGCCCCACTGTCCGTCTGTCCGCAGGAGGAATGCTGTGGGTCCACTGGGCCCACCGACTGGATTCAATACACGTCCTTCTTCAGGAGCCGCTTCAACGAAACCTTTGCCCCCTGGCCCTTCCAGTGTTGCAAGAGAGATCTCAACAGAGAGATAATCAGCCAGGAGGGCTGCGCAGTCGGTCACCAGAACTTTCTGTACCAGAAGGTGAGAGTCCAGGGTCTGTGCTGTCTCCTGCTTCGGCCCCTCCCTATCTCTATGTAACCTCCTCCAGCCCCTCCCTATCTCTGTGTAACCTCCTCCAGCCTACCACACCCACTCCGGTCCTGGTCTCTTGTGTGTTTTCCCCTTGCCCCCACACACACCGCCCGCCCCCCGCCCCCCCACCATCGCCCCATCCATTTGGGGGCTGTGCCTTCAGCTGCCCAGGAGTAGGGGCTTCTGAGCTTGGGAGTTCTGTCTCCCTCTCCCCTTTTTTTTCCCCCCCCCTCAACCCGTGTGTGTTACTGTGACCCAAATGCCCATTGCTCACTCCCATCTCCTTGATGGAGTTCCGTGCACAATCTCTTGTGAAATGTTGCAGTGTGGCTCATTAGTGTTTTTCTCTCTTGGGCTCTAGCTCGCTCTCACTGAAATTGTGTTCCCTGCAGGGTTGCTTTGATTACTTCAGCACTGCCATCAACAGCTACGCCTGGGGGATTGCCTGGTTCGGTTTCTCCATTCTCATGTGGACAGTATGTAGAAAGATTTCTCATCTGGCCGTGGCGGGATTTTTTTGTTATTTGTTTGCTGGGGAAGGGTCTCCTCAGAGAGACTCCCCTCCCTGAGTGAGTGTGGGATGGAGTTCCTTGATGCATGTTTCCTGGGCTCAGTGATGCTGGTTGAAGTAGTGATTTTCTCCCTGGCCCTTCCCAAAGTGTCTGTGTCTGTCTCTCCATAGGCCAAAGAGTAGCAGATGGAGTTTAATTTAGATAAATGTGAGGTGCTGCATTTTGGAAAGGCAAATCATGGCAGGACTTATACACTTAATGGTAAGGTCCTAGGGAGTGTTGCTGAACAGAGACCTTGGGGAGCAGGTTCATAGTTCCTTGAAAGTGGAGTAGCAGGTAGACAGGACGGTGAAGGGACCCCAGAGGCATGAGCTGGTACCCAGGAGGCAGGTTCATGGTGGAGACACTGCAGGAGGTCCATGTCGGGATCCCTGCTTTTCTTGGCCCACACGTGGGACCTTGACCCTGGCTGTACAGGCTAGTGTTTGAAAACCTGCAGGTGCCACTAAACTTTCAAGTATCCTAAATGATGAGGAAGACAGCGTGAACCTCCAGCAGGACCCAGATGGGCTGGTGGAGTGGGCTAACAAGTAGCAACGTAGAGAAGTGGTGGGAAGAACACAGACAAAAGAGGAGACAATTCTACTGGGGCTGCAGGAGCAGAGGGTGCTGCAGGTATAGGTACAAACGTCACTAAAAGTGGCAGGACAGGACAAGAGCACAGGTCATGAAGCTGACAGTATCCTGCTGTTAATTGGAACACAGTATAGGAGGAAGGAGGTGATGCTCTACTTGTACAAGACTCTGGTTCAACCTCAGCTGGAGGGCTGTGTCCAGTTTCGGGCCC